GAATTAATCTAAACTCGCTTTGTGAAACTGAAAACCCAGAGTTTTCGTTAACTCAGGGTATACTTACTCAGAGTTTGCACTAAACCGGCTTCCTGAAATAGGGCCCTGGTGTGGTGATTTCCCTTGATGCCGAGAAAGCATTTGACTGTGTCGAATGGTCTTACCTGACTTTTTACACTACACCAATTCGGTTTCAGTGGAAACTTTATAAAACTGGATTAAGTTACTTTATAACAATTCCTGCTCTGCAGTTCTCACAAACAGGTTTCGGTCCTCCAACTTCCAGATACTGAAGGGAACCAGACAAGGCTGTCCCCGCTCCCCTTTGCTCTTTGCCTTAGAGCCACTGGCAGAGGCAGTACGAGCTCAGGCAGACATACATGGTCTATCCATAGGACAAAGACAGCACAAGATACGCTGATGATGTACTTGTTGTGTTGACTCGGCTGGAATCATCAATCCCCTCTCTGGTTGAAACTATTAATAAGTTTAGTGAAATCTCAGGCTATAAAATTAATTATAAAATTAATATAAAACGATAAAATTAAGCAATGCCATTGGGCAGTCTGAAACAAAAACCGGGCCCCGTCTTCATTTCCCTTCACTTGGTCCCCACAGGACTTTACGTATCTGGGAATTAGGGTCACACCCGCCTTCGACCAGATGTATAAAAGTAACTTTACAATAGGGGGGTAAAGTCCTGGCTTGGTCGTATCGCTCTTCTGAAAATGAACATTATACCCAGGCTACTTTACCCAATACAGATGGTGCCGACCCTCTTCCCACACAAAACTATCCAAACTCTAAATGGCACAGCTCCTTTGTTTGGGCAGGGAGGAAACCTCGTCTTAAAATATCCACGTTATGTCTTCCATCCTCAAAGGAGGGCTTTGATTTCCCAGATATAAGGAAGTATCAGCTGAGCACCCATATGCGTATAGCTGCCGATTGGGTACAACAGCCTTCTCCTGTCTGGTTGGATATTGAGAGCTCTATGTCCAGCTTCCCTTTGAAAAATTTGCTTTTTGTGGGAAAACTTAAGACCTTAAGGATGTTCTGTAGCAACCTACTTACATTATCTACTGTTAGAGCTTGGCGAATGGTTCAAAAACTAGAAGGAAGGTCTCACCTAACATCTCTTTTCACTCCGTTATCCGATTATCCTCTCTTTTTGCCTGGAACCACCGACCCCGGCTTTTGGAACTGGGCTGCGAATGGTATTTCTACCTTTTCTGACTGAATGGACGGGTCTAACTTTTATGTCCTTTGACCAGCTAATCGATAAATACAATATTCATAGGACTTATTTACAAGTGAGGGACCACATCCAAAGGGCTACAACAATACTTACTAATCAAACCGTCTCTAACTGTGAAAAGCAGATATTTCAGCCAAATCTTAGAACCTCTATAAAAATTTGTTATGGCCTGTTAACAGAATTTGGGGTCATGGACACAACTTATTTGGGAAAAGGAATTACATATAGAGATTAGTGACGAGGTATGGGACGAAGTCTGGGAGAATGCTAAATCTCTGAGCGTCTGTAATAAAGTAAAGGCAATCCAAATTAAAATTTTACACAGCGCTCGCATTTCACCTTCTCAACGCCATAAATACAATTCAGACCTTTCTCCGCTGTGCCCTAAATAGGGATGGGTATCGTTTAGGTTTTATCCGATACCGGTGCCAAACCGGTACTTTTGAAACGGTGCCAGTGCTTAAACCGGTGCTTAAAGAATGGAGAACACAAAATTGGTCCAAAAACCTCTCATGTTCAGCTGTTTTTTTGTAAAAAGATAACAATGTTAGCCTTTTCTGCAGCTATAGGGGATTTATGGCATCACTCTTGGCTGGAAGCAGTGCTTAAACAATGGAAAAAACAAACTTTGTCCAAAAACCTCTCATGTTCAGCTGTTTCCCTCTTTTTCTTTGGTCATTTTAGCCTTTTTGGCCAGGGTGAAGGGAGTATCTGCCATCAAACAAGAAGACAACCGCATGTAGCTATGATGATGTTTGCTAGTTCACCTTACATGCATTAATGTAATAACGTGGTTAGCCTACTCAACGTAAATTACACGAACAACATTAAGCTACTCACGCAGAGAAGAACGGCTGCTGCCGTCATCATCCGTCATCATTTCTGCTACACTGGCAGGGCTAGGGGCCAGGACTCTCCTCTTCGTGTTTTTGGGGGATGTTGCTAACTCCGGGTCCGATAATAGGCAACCCACCCACAGTAGATGTGCTCGGTGTGAGGTCTCGCAGCAAGCTATCAAATACGGCGCATTTCTCGGCTTTTAAAAAAACGCTATGCGTCGCCAGGTGTTTCATCGGATTTGAGGTGTTACCTCCTTTGCACAGTATCACAGTATCAGCTTAAAGCACTTGTTGCTGCTGAGTTTGCATATTTTGCTGTGAAGTACAGCCAGACTTTTGACCGCTTTGCCTTGGTCATTTTTAATCTGTAGCTCTGCTCTAAAAGAACGTACGTACCTGGCCCCGCCTACTATCCTCGGAAACGTAAAATGATTGGCTAGAATCTAAAGTGTATCACAGCTCAGGAAAAAAAAGCACCGAAATAAAGCACCGAAATGTGCGCTGCTTTTCGGTCTGGTTACTACCGTTTATGTCAGAACCGGTGCCATCATGGCACCCATCCCTAGCCCTAAATGTAAAATAGAGGTGGGCAACCTCACGCACTGTCTATGGTCCTGCTGGAAAATACAACAATTTTGATTTGTCATAAAGTGTGAACTGGATAAGATCTTCACCACTGACACTGAATGCAACCCATTGTGTATGCTACTTTGAGTGGCAAACGACACAATCAGTGCGCAGAGCTGCTTTGGAAAGCAGCTCTACGCACTGTTTACATTCTGTGCAAGGAAATGTGTCCTTTTGAACTGGATCACGGATACGGCCCCATCTAAGACTCAGTGGCACCGGACGGTACTGGAATATATGTCACTAGATTTCTTAATATGCAAGTTACATAGTAGGGACAAAAAGTTTAATAAAATATGGGACCCATTTATGGCGTATGCCGGTTTGGATATTTCTGCTATTTTCTCACAGGCCCTGGTATAATGCAAGCATGTCACTGCTATTTTACATATGTGTATTGTTAATTGTATCTCATAATCAAAGTGTCTGGATTTTCCATTTATTTATTTGTATTCTTGAGCCGGGTTGTTTGTTTTATTTTGTTTTGTCTATTTTGTTTTGTCCTGTTATGTTGGTTTTGTTTTGTTTAATGATGGTGTCAGTATAAAGTTTAAAACTCAATAAATACATGGAAATGCTCTTAAATATTAACTTGCATTGCCATGCTTATCATCCAGAGTTACGGATGCTCTACAGTCCTAATATTTACTTGACAGAGGTACATGTGAGACTCTGCATTTGTACTGTACCAGAAATTCTAATCTGTTTGGCTTTAATCAGCTGATGGTTTGCTTCTTGTTCCCGCCTGGTCATCAGAAGACCTTTTAAGTTTTTATGTATCTGTTCCTGCAGGCCAGAGAATTCTCCAGTATCAGAGTGATGTCCTCCAGACAGTTGTGTTGGTGAACCCATCAGAGGAAACTGCTGTTTCAGAGGTGAGTCACATTCAGAGAGCATACAGGAAACGAGTGCGTGGCGATGATCAAAGTGTTTGGTTCCTATTTGGAAAAGTTTTTTCATTTAAGTCACACTGAGGAGTTCTGGGTCAAAGTGTTCAATGTGATCTGAACTCAGTTTGTCTTATGAAGACCGTAGCAATACCTGCTGTTCACCAGGGATCCCAGAGTTGGAGGTCCATGCCTGTCCCAGGCTTCTCTGATTAGCATCAGTACACTTTGTCAGCTGAAGGACCACAGTGTGAGTCACAGACAGTGTGTTCATGTTATCTGTCTTTGACTGCAGATAACAACTTTCATACTAGTTTTGTTTACACAGGTCGACCTCATAGCTTTAATTAGTCACTATAAACATTTAATTAGTCCTTCACGAGTAACTTGCATCTGTAGATCAATGTGGAACTACTGCCAAGTCTACATCTACAGGACTGAAACAGCTGGTCCCTCAAGCTGCCCAAGAAACTCACAGTTTTGTGTGTTTATTCTCCTTTTAATCATTTTCCTTAGGCCTCCGGAATCTCAGCTTCTCAGCTACTTATGACTAAATCGAGACTTTAAATGTGCCTAAAATGGGTCCTGTTTGTCGCAGAAATAGAAAATACTTTTTCAAACATTCTATTTTGGGTGTTAAGTGACAGGCGCTCATTTTTAAACTGCTATATTTAGATTTGTAAAAAGGAGCAGGAGTTTTTGCAGCCTGACTGACCTTTTTTTCTTAAAATCATTTTGTTAGAGCAGCTATTTTGATTGGACATATTTAGCGTTCCATTCATCACACAGAGGACAAACTGCAGCTATTTTACTCATTTCCAGCTCCATGTAGGCTACTCTGTTCTACATTTAAGCAGCTTTGTATGATGACTTGTTAGCTCCATAGACAAAAAGGAATAATATTGAATATATTTTATATCAATTATTCACAAAAAGAAAAATATCCATTTATTAAGAAAATAAAGAACATTTAATTACTTTGTAATCGTCCTGCCTGAATTGCTTAACAAACATCTGTAAAGCATTTTTCTTTCCTTTGCTTATCAGCAGCAGTTGGCCCTGGTAGTCCAGGAGCACAGCAGTCATCTGGCTATCCGTTACTTATGAAAGAAAAAGAAAACAAGGAGCCTTTTGTGCACAAGTAGATTGTGTTTCTGGTACAGGCTAGGCCGTGACACACCCTTTCAGTTCATCCTAAAGGTGCCGTTTTAGGTCCTGTCCCTTTAAGGCTAGCTTTCCTCCCCCCCCCCCCGTGTCTGATTGGCTGCTTTTCACACACAGAAAGTTGGAATTGCAGGTACATGTGGGATAAAATGATCCTATAAGTGTTTGGATGTCTCCAGCTTTGAATCAGTCCATCACATGTTTGGGCACTGAAAGATTTTTCATCATCCTTATGTGCTGCCATTTGACTATTTTGTTTGTATTTCTGGTAGATTATTGATGATATAGTATTCTAAATATATCAGTTGTTGTTACAGTCGTATTACTATCCTCTGCCTAGACTCGCTCACTGATCACCGACTCTGCTGCAAATAAGTTGCTGATCCTGAGCGGCCAGAGCTCTGAGCAAGGTGGTGACATCCAACTGCAAAGTGGAGCTTTCACCTGGCAACATTTCTCCGACATCATCTCCAACCCTGAAGTAAGCTGCACGTGCGTTCACTCTAAATACTTTGTTTCAGTGTATGCGTGTATAGATCAACGTGGAACTATAAAAATGATTTTGGGTCATGTTTCCCTCTTCCTGTGTTTGATTGAAGGTGATTGAAGTCCTGTCCAGGGCCTCTTCTGAGCAACCGTCGAAGCTTACCGTTTCCTGTCAGGGAGAAGGGGGCTGGAGCTCCCTGGGCCAAAGCCAGGAGCAGCAGTCACTCCTAAATCTTCTGGAATACCGCCTGAACCCCGAACCCCACCTCCCCAACATGGACGGAGTCACAGAGTTTACAGAGTATGTTGCAGAGACAGTGGATGTGCCATCACCCTTTGACCTTCTGGAGCCCCCAACCTCCGGTGGGTTTCTGAAGCTGTCCAAACCCTGCTGCTACATCTTCCCTGGAGGCAGGGGAGACTCTGCTCTGTTTGCTGTCAATGGATTCAACATCCTGGTGGACGGTGGGTCTGAGCGGAAGTCCTGCTTCTGGAAGCTGGTTCGGCACCTGGACAGGATCGACTCTGTCCTGCTTACCCATATTGGCGCAGATAACCTCCCTGGCATCAATGGGCTGTTCCAGCGAAAGATTGCTGAGCAGGAGGAAGAGAGGAACCAAGACTCTGGCTCCAGCAGCAGCGGTGACTGGATGAAGAACATTATTTCCCCCGAGCTCGGGATTGTGTTTTTCAATGTCCCGGAGAAGCTGCGGATGCCCGAGTCCACCCTTAAGGTAAAGCGAAGCATTGAGGAAGCATCTCTGACACTGCAGTACCTCAACAAGCTTGGCATCACACCAGAGCCTCTTCATAGGGTAGTAAGCAACACGATTGAACCTATCACACTGTTCCACAAGCTAGGTGTGGGAAAGTTAGACATGTATGTTCTAAACCCCGTAAAAGAAAGCAAAGAGATGCAGTTTCTAATGCAGAAATGGGCCGGAAACAGCAAGGCCAAGACAGGGATCATGATGCCGAACGGAAAAGAAGGAGAAATATCGGTCCCCTATTTAACGTCAGTCACAGCTCTCATCGTGTGGATTCCTCATCGTCCAACAGAAAAGATAGTCCGTGTGCTTTTCCCAGGAAATGCACCACAGAATAAAATATTTGAAGGCCTAGAGAAACTAAAGCACCTGGACTTTCTGCGATACCCAGTGGCTACCCAAAAAGACATATCATCTGGCGCACCACCTCCCATCATAAAACAGACCAAAATAAGATCAAGAACTGATAGCAAAGAGAGTCTGAAATCTTCGCCCAAACCACATTCGAAAACAACTAAGAAAGAAGCCAGTGGACCGGAGGAAGAGTCAAAGAGCGATACCGGCAAAGAAAATAAGGCTGAAAAGAAAGAAGAGAAGAAACCCAAAAGTGAAAGTCTAAAAGCCACCAAGCAACAGAAAAACAGTGAAGTAGCCCCTGGAGTTAACAAGATGGAAAAAAAGAAAATATCAAAGGAAAAAGCTGCCAAGCAAGAGAAAGCATCAAAGATGGATGAGAAAAAAGACAAAGAGAAAAAAGAAATGAAGAAAGAGAAACGCGAGGTAAAGAAAGACGAGAACATACGAAAGGAGGAGAAGAAAGAAAGCAAAGCCAAGGAGGACAAAAAGAAAGATCCAAGTAAACCTGAACTGAGAAAAATCACAAAACCAGACCTGAAACCATTAACCCCTGAGGTGAGGAAAACTTTGCACAAGGCCAAGACTCAGGCTAAACCTAAAAGGGACAAAAATAAAGCAGTGAAGGAGGAAGTGAATGAGAAAAAACCAGTTTTAAAGAATGTGCCTGAAGAGGTTGAGGCAGCAGCTCTGGCTGACAGATCCATTGTGTCCTCACCCGAAGACCTCACTGAGGACTTTGAGGCATTGAAACAAGAGGAGCTGTCCAAACACAAGACAGAACCGATCCAGAACGATGTCATGCCTGAGCTAACAGTGCACTCTGACGCTAAAGTTTCTTCCTTAGTTTTCCCTGAGGAAAAAGTCACAGCCTCAACCACTGAGACAAAGTCTGCTTTGCCCAAATCTCCAGTCAAACAGGAAGAACAGGTGATGGCGGCTACTCAAAAGAAGAACTACGGCGATGATGGTTCCAATAAAAAGTACGAAGAGGAGAAAATGGAAAAATATGATAAATACTCCATAAAGGATGATGTAAAAGATAGATCAAAGAAGAGCGAGAGCTCAGAGGAAGAGGGCGATGTAATCGAGAAAGCTGACCTTGAAGGGACAGAAGACGATGAGGTCCTGAAGTATAAAACTGAGGAGGTGAAAAAGGAAAAAGCAAAGGAGTGGGACACCAAGCCATCGCAAAAACCGTTACCAACTGCACAGGCAATAGCAGCCTCTGCCTCAGAGCAGTTCTCTTTTATCCAAGATGAAACCATACCCGGATACTCTGAGACTGAACAGACCATCTCTGATGAGGAGATCCATGAGGATACCGAGGACAGGATTCTACAGCTGCACTATGATGTGGGCTCTTATGACATCTCTGTTCCCGACGTTCCCGGCACCTTTGATTCGATGCACGGTATAAAGGAGATGAAGAGTTCCGCTATATCTGACGTTGCCGATGTCAAACCCAAAGCCTTTATGGGAGGTCCCGAACCTGAGCTTGCACCTTACCCCACCATCATTGCTGCTCCTCTTGCTGAAGAGGAGCACATCTCCTCAGCCACATCCATCACAGAATATGACAAACTGTCATCCTTTGCCACATCTGTAGCTGAAGACCAGTCCGTTGCCTCCGTGACAGCGCCCCAGACCGAGGAGGCTGGGCGGAACTCTCTCCTGCTGGATACCATCAACAGCATCCCCTCACGTGCAGAGGCTGCCCAAGGGAAGGACTATCTCCACTCAGCAGGAACCATCTCACCCACCTCCTCTCTAGAGGATGACAAGTGTTTTAAGTCTCCTTCCTCTGATGAGTATCAGCCCCACATCCCTGAGATCGAGGGTGAAGTGAATGTCCCATCAGTCCAGGATGAAGAAGATGATGACGAGGATGAGGATGAGGACCAGACCCCAAACGTTGACATCCCTCTGGGTAAACTTCAAGAGGGCTACGAACATGCAGCCTCCATGATGCTCCAGGAGAAGGAGAAATCGCCCTCGTCCACTTTTTCTCCTCCTCCCTTCTCCACTACACAGTACTCACCCTCACAGTCTGTCAAAGAAAACCTCTTCATTGCAGAGGGATTTAAGACTGGTGTTGAAATAAAGTCTGTATCACCCCCTCCTTCATCATTCTCCCCAGGGCTAGAGTCCCACTCCAGGCAGGAGAGTGAGGAAAGATGCCTAAGTCCGGACGATAGCACCATGAAACTTGCATCACCCACACAGTCTGTGCCTACCAGCAGCGGCTACTCTCCAACGGAGGAGAAGCCCTTTAGGACAGAAGACAGAGACGAGGCAGTGACCAGCACGAAAGCTGACATCCAGAAAACAGAGAAATCAGTCACCATCTCAGACAATACCTCCTTCATTGGTGTGTCAGGTGACAAGACCATGTTTGAAGCATCTGAAGAATCTGAGGAGGAGGAGGATGACGATTATTATGCCAAAAAGGATCTACAGCCTACCGTCAAGGCAAAGCTTATGGAGGCCAAAGAGGGTTGCTTCTTGGATGATGACTTTAGTTTTGATGCAAAATCTGCAGGAACTCAAAAGGAAGTTGTGAGCTCAGGCAAAACAAATGTGGCCTTTGCCACAGAGGAGAAACCCAAACCTCACGTGACGTATTCGAACAAAGATGAAAAAGATGACGACTTTCCAGTTAGGGTAGGGTCTCAGCCTGTTTTGAGTGATCGCGCCGAAGCTGACATTACAAAAGACAGCGCAGAAAAAGCAGATATCACTATTAAAGAGCCTGAAAAAAGTGTTCAGTTCAACCTGTACGAGTTTCCCGAGAAGGAGGGTAAAGTAAAGGCCTCATATGTAAGACAGGACACTCCCTATGTGCACGGAAAAACGTTCTCTTATAGTGACATTTACGACAGCAAGACAAGCTCAATTGACTCTGACTCATTTCGTCAGGAGTCCTTAGAGGTCCTTAAGGTGGAGAAAGACGTAGCAAAGGACAGCGCAGATCTGCTAAAACATGAGCCTCCCTTCACAGTCAGGGATAAGATGTCAGAAAACGAGGGATTTGCTGTTTCTTATGGAAAGGAGTCCTTATCGTGGCTAGACTCCAAGAGCACTCCAGCTACAGCTCAATTCGAAAAAGAGGTGAAAGAAAAGGAGTCATCTAAACACAGTGAAAGTAGTCGATTCCCTTCAATGGCTGACAGACCTGAGGCATGGACCACTTCTTTGTCATCAGAAAAGGACGTCAGAGTCCCGACTGACAGCACAGAGGCCTCAGCGTCGGGTGTAGACAAGCTAGCTGCCTCGGCCTACAACGAGAAAGGTGCGTGCTTGGAGATTGATATGCGAAAGCTAACGGCGAGAGACGAGGAGGACTATGATGATGATATTGTTGATGACGACGAAGAAGTGGAAGATGACGAAGAGGAGGAGGAAGAGGATGAAGGTGCTGTTGATTCTGATATTGAGAAAGGTGCCAAAGAGAAATCTGAAAAGGAAGTGAAAAGTCCGGTCAGTGAAACGCTTGGCCAAGACAAGCCTGAGTTCATGGTTTCCATGGCTGGATATGGTAACAGCGGTCAGGGGAAGCCGGTTATTACAGGAAGCAGTTCGAGCTCCCTCACAACTGTCGAAGATAAAACCAAGGCCGACTCGTCATCGCTAACCGGAAAACCACTGGATTTAGGGGCTGCAGGTTTCTCTAGCTACTCATCAGGATTTGAATACAGCAGCGGAAGTGACGAGAAGGAGACGTTTGTGCCCAGTCAAAGCTCAGACAAAGCAAGAGAGAACTTCACCTTGAAATCAACAGACGGCAACTATTACCAGAACGACAGAGCTGATTCTGATTTTGAGAAACAAAAGACACCAGATCTTCTGAGTAAGAGATCATTGGACACAAGCTTCCAGTACACCACAACCACCGCTGCCCCTGGGTTCTCCTCCTCTTCGGCCTACAGCTACTCCTCCTCCACCTCGGGGTCTCTGTCCACCAGCCGTCAGTTCGGAGAGGAGCTGGAGACACCTGCCTCAGCCGAGCCTCTCTTTGAGTACTCCTCCTTCAAAGATGAACACTCGCCCGTTACGGATTCTCCATTCTCCAGCTCCGCTGTCGCAAAAGATGACTATTTAGAAGTGACTGAGAAACAAATTACGGCTACGAGCGCAGCTGAGACTACCTCCGGTTTGGCCCGCTTCTCACCTCTCAGTCCTTTTGAAGAGGTTAAATCATTCCCCACCCTCTCGTCCAGTACCTTTACTGATGACAAGAAGGAGCACATGACTTCATTAGGTGGACTAACAGATAAAGTCTCTCAACCTGAGTGTTTTTCTAAGCCTGAGTGGTCTGAAGGGTCCCAGCTGGACACAGCTGTTGGATTTGGGGCCACACTAGCGTCACCATTCTCTCAACTTTCAGAGTTCTCCAAGGACAAGGAGGCAGCTAGTGCTGCTCTGTTTGGCGTCACGTCCTCGCCTCGGCCAGACATAGAAGGCAAACATTACTTTGAGGAGACCGAAAGCAGCGAAGAAGAGGACGAGGAAGCGTATATGCGTGAGATGACTCTGAGGTCTCCTTCTAGTGGCCTGGCTAGTAGCCTTTTATTTTCTGACAAGCCTGTTGCTCCACCCATTGCTGAAAAGCCAGGAGATGCGCTTCCAGATGTTCTTGGCTCCTACACTCCCTCAACGCTTCAGACCAGCAAGCCTGACACAGTGAACGGGCCCACGGAGGTCAGCACGAGTTCCATGCTCCCACCTGCAGCAGCAGTAACTGGTGCAGCTTTAGGCTCAGCCAAGCTGGTGTCACACGAGGGAGCAGCAGGTTATGTAAGGAGCTCCTATGAGTGGGAAATGCCAAAATCCCAGATGGGAATGGTGCCAGGAGACTCTCCCCCTCATTACCGTCACGATGATGAGTTTGAAGAAGAGTGCGAAATGGAGCCAGAGCATCCTGCCCGCCCGCTCTCACTCTCCTCAACTGATCAGCCGTTCCGTTCACCGTTCTACGGGGAGGAGTGCAGCCGGGGAGGGCAGGATGACGAGGACGACGATGACGACAGCGATCGGGATGCACCCATAGGAGCTACCTCCTCCTATACGAGCCGCTCCTCTCCCGGATATTCGTCTTCTGAGTACAGGCAACGCAAAGAAGACCTCTCACCTTCCTTCATCAACCCTTGCATGCGGCAACTCTCCAGTGACGAGGACGATGAGGAGCAAGGCCGCAGAAGTGATCAGTCGCAGGAGGGTGACGAGCACGACCTCTCAGTCAAGAGAAGGGCTCACAAACACGCCCATCAACACCAATCCCACAGCAGGGACAGCAGTTCTCTGCACCAAACTGGTGGGATGTCAGCAGGATTAGGCTTGGCCACGGAGGACACTCCACCCACCTCGGTCAGCGAGTCTCTGGCCTCCCAGTCAGATTCGGATGCACCCCCGGGCAGTGAAGAATACCCTTCAGCTACTGTTGAAGGCAACATGGACTCAGATGAGGATGCTGACTACATGCCAGTTGATAAAGCTGCCCTAGGAGGAGGCAGCCACCACTTTAACTCCAGGAAGAGCCACGATCCTTCTCCTGCTCCCCTCATGGATCCTTCCCCACACCCCCCACGGCCAGACGTTTGCATGGTAGATCCCGACTCTTTAGACAACGGCTCCCTGAAGAAAGAGCCAAAAACTAAGAGCTTAAAGAAGACTGCAGGCAAAACCAAATCAGGATCACCAGCTAGGCGCAAGCGGTCTCCTATGCCTGTCAAACAGACGCAGTCTCCTCGTAGTGCTTCGCTGAAAAAGAAGGAGGCCGACAAGAGTTCACGGATGTCTCGTCTTTCAGATGGACAGGGCTCCAAAGATGACGACCTGTCCAGGTCAAGCTACAACCCTGGCAAAGGGCTGACTAATGGTGTCAAAAGCAGTTCAGGTGAGCAAATGTCATTGAAAACATAACATCCTAACTCTTTACACAACACAAAAGGGAACAATGGTTTGGCCTTCTTTACCCACACAGGTTCTCAGAAGTCAGGCTCTGTGGCTGCTCCCGGCCAACCCATTTATGTGGATCTGACTTACATTCCCAACCACTGCAGTGCCAAGAATGTGGACCAAGAGTTTTTCAAACGCATTCGTTCTGCATACTATGTGGTGAGTGGCAACGATGCAGCGAGCGGCGAACCGAGCCGAGGAGTCCTTGATGCACTGTTGGACGGCAAAGCTCAGTGGGGATCAAACCTACAGGTATTATTTACGTGTGTTTTAACCCATCGATTTAAGTCATCACTGATGACCCTAACCCTGACTCTAACCTAGGGTTAGTTTTTAATACATTGTTCTCTATCAAGTTCTGGCAATTAGGGAACAAAGAATATAATCTTTCTAATTGACACACAGAAGAAACTATTCTTTTTTTCCTGACCTCCACATGTAGAGCTAGGTTAAGGTTAATACTGGGGTTATCGACTTGATAAAAAAATACAAACACAATAATTTTCACTTTTAAATCTCAAAGGTTTGTGGTGGCATTTATTGACCACCTCAATCTCTTACTCGACCTACGTACTGAGGTGTGCAGCTGGTGATGCTTTTGTTTTCCACTAAGCCCAAATTTCCTTAAGTTGGACATCAGCCAGTGTTCTTTTGTGCCAGAAACCTGTTTGATGTCTACAGACATTTAACAATCTCTGATTGCTGTCAGAGCCAAAGAGGTGACAACAACAATCTACGCTAGGCCGAAAACTAGATAGCCAGCATATTCTCCGTGATCCTGCTGTTCAGCGGTTGCATTCACTTCCTGTCGGGTAACATAACAGACATCAGAGTCATTTACCTCTTTGTCCTTCCAAACCAAAACGCTCAACTCTGGTGGCTTTGGCCATGTTTTATATGCGGTCTGTTAGGACAGCTGAATCAGAATCAGAATCAGAATACTTTATTAATCCCTG